CTTCTATAAGAAGTCTTCTAGGGCTTCTTGGAGAAGGCCTTCAGCTCTTCTTCGAGAAGACCTTAAGCTCTTCTTCGAGAAGACCTTAAGCTCTTCTTCGAGAAGACCTTAAGCTCTTCTTCGAGAAGACCTTAAGCTCTTCTTCGAGAAGACCTTAAGCTCTTCTTCGAAAAGACCTTAAGCTCTTCTTCGAGAAGACCTTTTGCTCTTCTACGAGAAGACCTTTTGCTCTTCTTCGAGAAGACCTTAAGCTCTTCTTCGAGAAGACCTTAAGCTCTTCTTCGAGAAGACCTTAAGCTCATCTTCGAGAAGACCTTAAGCTCATCTTCGAGAAGACCTTAAGCTCTTCTTCGAGAAGACCTTAAGCTCTTCTTCGAGAAGACCTTAAGCTGTTCTTCGAGAAGACCTTCGGCTCTATGAGAAGAATTGTTGATCTTTTTTGAGAAGACCTATTGCTCTTCCATGAGAAGGCCTGTTGCTTTTCTATGAGAAGTCCTTTTGCTCTCCTCGAAATAAGACCTTTTGTTCCTCAAGAGAAGACTTTTCTCTCATCTAGAGAAAACCTTGTGGTCTTCTAAGGGGATCATCTGTAAGTAGATTTTCTTCGCATCTGTGCAAAGTCCTTCTAGCCTTCTGTGAAAACACTTTTTGGATTTCGATGAGAAGACCTTCTGTTCTTCTATGAAAAGACTTTCTGGTCCTCTTTGAGATGACCTTTGCTTTTCTATGAGAAGGCCTTTTGCAAAAGCCTTTGTCTATTTATCAGACGATTCTGTAATCTTTTGCGCGAAGTTCTCGAAATACTTCCCAGTCTTTTGATGAAGAAACCTTCCGACGTTTAAAATAAAGCCCAACCAATTCTCTCTGCTTCGGTCTTTCATGTGCAGGACGCCTGGCATTGTGTAAGATTTTTTTTGAGGAGACCTTCAGCCCCACAATTAGATAAGCTATTGGTCCTCTATGAGATCAACTATTAGTTTTGAGTTAGAAAGCAATGTTATTTTTAATAGTAAGACAGTTTTGGCATTTTATGGGACGACCTTGGGCTTCTTGTAAGGGGCATTTTGGTCCATTTTATTAAGATGACTTTCGTGTGGTCTTCTACAATAGATTTTATCCTAGTTCGGAAGAAAACCCTATTTTCTTCTATGAGATGACGTTCTTCTGCTCCGTTATAAGAAATTCAGATCTTAAATGAAAATATATCCTCGAAAAAAGCTTTTCTAACCCAACAAAAAACTTTTTATAGTACCGACTTTAAAAATGCTATTTTCAGGTCCAATCAATTTTAGTCCTCTTTAGTATCGTTATTAACAGTGTTGAGTAATTCCAATAAACCAATAATTATATTGTCATTAAATGCAACACCTCAATTCAGAGTTTTTAATTTAATTATTCAGTATTTGTCAAGATAACAATACAAAATTATTTTGAATTATATTTCCATTTTTATTTTATTGCAAACAATCGAAGAATTAAAAATGCAGAAAACTGTTGAAATTTTTGCACTTAACCCTGACGTTCAAATGTCTCTAGGGTGTGCCAACAGAACCCTAACATAGATTTTTTTTCTAAAACAATAAAAAAATTATTTTTCACATATGAGGGGGTATAGAAAATTGTGTTACAAGCTATTTCGGAGTTTTTGAAATCCACGATTATTATTTGTAGTAGTAAGAATATGGAACCATCTTCGTAACAAAACTAAAAATTTTATTTGTAAATGTTATTTATTCAAAAATATTCAATGTACAATAATTATCCCAAACTAGCCAAATTATACCCAATATTCCATGAACACAGTCCATACTAATAAACTTCCGATTTCGAACCTCGTTTCGGTACCTACCCACTTTTAGCACTTACATTGTCATGCTGCAAAACAAAAACTCTTTTCATGATCTTTGCTCTATTGAAATCTTTGATCGTGTTATTTGTTTTTGTTACAATATCTATGTTCGATTGGTGGCATAGATATTCAACCTCTGTGGCTCCGCTCTTTGGACGCATTGTTGGGGGGAGACAAATGGAAATCTATGTTAAATTGCGGTGGCACGTGAGTCAGATTGCCTGACTGGTATTGGCATCTGATTTGCATCATTGACAGTCAGTTGTGCAGCCAGCCAGTCGTGATGGTGAGCACAGAGGCTCGACTGGGTGCCTGGCTAACCGACCGACTGACTGACTGACAATGTTATGTTGTGTGGCGCTCTCCTCATTCAATACATATTTCAAATAGTTTGATTGATTTGTAGTCTTTTAATATGATCACTTGAGCTCGAATGTGAGTAATTTACATGAGTTTCAAATTAAACGTTATTCAAAAAGCAGGGATATACATTCTTGGGTGAATAACAAATCGAAACAATGAGAGTTTTTTATGGACATGGCTTTAAGTTAAAAAAAAAAAAACATTTGAATTCATGAAACACAGACTTATTGAGACAGATCACGCAAATAGCGAGACTGGAGATGTATTATAATTTATAGCATTTCTTTAACAGGTCAATAAAAAAGCTATCAAATAGTCTGTTCTCCTATAAGAAGATATTTTGATCTGGTGTGGAAAACTTTTTGGTCTTCCGTGGAAAGATTTCCCAATATTCCAATAGGAGACGTTCTGATATTGCATGAGAAAATCTTTCTGATCTTTCGTATGTAGACATTCTGCTTTTGTGTGAGAAGACCACCTGGTATGGGAAAAATTTAGAGTTTTGTATGGAAAGCCTTTTTATTTGCAAAGAGAAAATGTTTTGGTATTTCTTCTGGGAGACGATATTCTGGTCTTCTTTGATAAAACCTGCTTTATCTTCTGTCCTTCTGTGAGAAGCAAGGGCATTTGGTTCTTCTAGGTGAGCGCTTCCTTGTCATATAAAGTAGATACCTTCTGTTTTTTAAAGACAACACCTTCTAGTCTTTTCTGAGAAGACCTTCCATATTCTGTCAAATGACTTTACGGTATTCTCTGAAAAGTCCATCTGTATTTCTGTAAAAAGACCTTCAGATCTTCTATTAAAAGACTTTATGGTGTGCAATAAAAATTCTTGTCTTCTATGAGAAGACCTTCTGGCTGTTCATCTATAAGAAGACTCTCAGTTCTTCTACAGGATGTCATTTTTGTCTTTTGTGAGAAGGCTTTCTTTTTTACGATAAGTAGACATACCTCTGAGAAGACCTTCCTCTTTTCGTTGAAAAGACCTCCCTCTTTTCGATGAAAAGACCTTCCCCTTTTCGATGAAAGGTCTTCTACGAGAAGACCTCCTTCTCTTCAACGAGAAGACTTCCTTTTCTTCAACGAGAAGACATTCTTCTCTTTGGAAAGAAAACGTTCTTTTCTCTTCGTCGTGATGATCTTTTTTTCTTCCATGAGAAAACCTCCTTCATTGAGGTGAGATGCCTCTTTTTCTTCCGTGCGATGAGAATACTTTCTTCTCTTCGATGAGAATACCTTCTTCTCTTCGATGAAAAGACCTTCTTCTCTTCGATGAGAAGACCTTCTACTCATCGATGAGAAGACCTTCTTCCCTTTTATGAGAAGTCCTTCCACACTTCGATGAGAATACCTTCTTCTCTGCGATGAGAAGACCTTTTTCTCTTCGATGAGAAGGCCTTCTTCTCTGCGATGAAAATACCTTTTTCTCTTTGGTGGAAAGACCTTCATCTCTGCGATGAGAAGACCTTCATCTCTGCGATGAGAAGACCTTCTTCTCTGCGGTGAAAAGACCTTCTTCTCTTCGATGAGAAGACCTTCTTCTCTTCGACGAAAAGACCTTCTGCTCTTCGATGAGAATACCTTCTTCTCTTCGATGAGAATACCTCCTTCTCTTCGATGAGAAGACCTTCTTCTCTTCGATGAAAAACCCTTCTTCTCTTCGATGAGAAGACGAGAAGACCTTCAATGAGAATACCTTCTGTTCTTCGTTGAGGAGACCTTTTTCTCTTCGATGAGAAGACTTTTTTTACTGCGATAGGAAGACCTTCTTCTCTGCAGTAAGGAGACCTTCTTCTTTTCGATGATAAAAACTTTTACTCCTTGATGGGAGAACCGTCTCCCCGTCGATGAGAAAACCTTCTTTTCGATGTTTAGGCGACAATCTTATAAAGGATCTTCTCAACATCGATGATAAGGCCTTTCTATAATCGATGGAAGGACCTTATTCTCGTCGATGAGAATACCCTCTTCTCTGCGAAGAGAAGACCTTGTGCTTTTCGAGGAGAAGACCTTCTCCTCTGCAACGAGAAAACATTCTGCTCTTCGATGGTCTTCCATGAGAGAAAGACCTCCGGTTTTTCTATGTGACTCTGGACTTCTGAGAATTTATTCCTTCCCCCTAAAGGGGGACCTACGAGTCTTATTGAGAAGTTCCGTTAAAGAACCCTTTTGTCTTTATTAAATAAATTCTTCAGGTTACCACGCCTCGATTAGAAGAACTATTGTCTTCTATAAGAATGTTGTCTGTTCAAAGCCAAAGCGAAAGATTCTAGTCTTTCTGAAGAAGTAGAAGAAATCCTATCGGTCTGCTATGAGAAATGATTCTGGTGTACTGAAAACGCTTTATAAATTATAGAAGACATGTTGCTGATATTTTGTTTTTTTTTTTTTTTTTTTAACAGAAATCTATTTGAAGGCCCTATATCTACAATAGGCCGCCTCGAATATCTAATATCAATGTAAGACGTTTCCGTAGGCTTCCATCTATGAAATACTTTTTAACATTTACTATCTGTGAGGAATTTTGAAAATTGAAGGTCGTTTATCTTTTACAACAACCTAATCTTGTGTAATTTATGACCACACACTTTTTTCCAAAATACGAAACATTTTGAATGTTGCCTAATTAGTTAACTAAATTTAAAACGCAAGAATATTTAAATTACCCTCAAAACTTCCAACTCATAAAAATTAAGAAATGTTATTAAAATAAGCTAGCTCTCCAAAAAAAAAAAATAACAACAGAGAAAAGAAAACTCAAAAAAAATGAAAAATGAATATCACTTACCAACTGGCCGTTGTAGTGGATTTGGTGTTTCCGTGTTATATCAATAAAGTGGCCACCGCCCGTTGCGCTTGAGCTTTCGTCCGAAGCCGCATGAGGTTGGTGTGTGGTATTCGAAGCGTGCCATGAATTGTTTTCAAAATCACCCACATCGCCGTCGTCATCGTCGGCGACGTCATCAGTCGAAATATTTACTCCATGCGGATGGTGATGATGATGACCACCTTGCAGTCCGGCACTTGTGAGTTTATTTGTTGTTGTAGTACTATTTTGATGTTGTTGTTGTTGTTGCTGCTGCTGCTGCTGCTGTTGCAGGCAATTGACGTTGTAAAAACATGGACCAAATAAAGCGATTAATAAAATCAAAATCAAGCCAATGTTTGAACACATTCTACAATGTTTCGCTTTTCGTGTTGTTTTCCAGGAGGTGGGGCTTTCGGCAAGCATTGAAGTGTTTTTGTTGTTGGTGTTTGTATTCGCAACGAAACGAAAAGTAAAACGTTACACTTTCGTTGGCAGTGTTCGGTGTTGTTGTTTTTGCTGTTCGAATGTTATTATTTTTGCAGCACCTGACGTTTGCCGTCTTCTTAATGCAGTTTTAATTAGCCTCTTTTGGAATTTATTGGTCAATAGACATCAGCATGAACATCATTATTATTGGGGTTGTTGTTTTTGTTGCTGATATCTGATGCGGCCTCCTCGCTCATTGATTTTGTGATTGCTGTTGAGCAGTTGTTGTTATTAATTTCCAAATAATTTGCCAACATTCCAAGACATTTTGCCATATTTTCGCCTCAGGAATCTGAAAATGTTGAAGAATTTTGTTTTGAAAATTTATGATTGGCAATGTGGACTATGCCTTTACTCTGCACCAGAGGATGGAGGTGGTGTCTAATAACTATAGATGACGTCCGAGTGAAATTTTATGTACAGAAGAGGTCTGCAGGATCTTCCATGAATAGAGGAGGGGTCTTCTGTAACTAGAAAAGCTCTGAAGGATATGTAAATTCAATTTACGCAGGACCTCGAAATGATATTCTATTAATAGGTCTTCTATGAATTAACCTCCTGGCCTTTCTTGACAATATCTTAAACCCTTCTATGACAAGACCTTCAGGTCTTCTAGAGAAGATACTATAATGCTCTTATGAAAGACCATCGGTACTGCTATGACAAGACCCTCTGAGAGAGGAGACCTTCTGATGGTCTAAAGAGAAACCTTTCTGGACGTTTTTCTTTAACTCGTCATTTTCTTAGAACACCTTCTTATCTTCTATTCAAACCATTCCTCTCATCTTTCAAAAGACACTCTTTTTTCAACGAGAAGACATTCTTCTTCTTCATTATTACGAGAAGACCTTCTTATTATCTTCAACTTTCTTCTTTTCTCCTTACCTTTTATAAGAATATCATCTCGTCTTACCTCCCATGAGAAGACCATTTTCTCTTCTCTTCCATGAGAAACATTCTCGTATTCTATTCTATGAGAAGACCTTCTGCTCTTCCATGAGAAACATTCTCGTATTCTATTCTATTCTATGAGAAGACCTTCTGCTCTTCTATGAGAAGACCTTCTGCTCTTCTATGAGAAGACCTTCTGCTCTTCTATGAGAAGACCTTCTGCTCTTCTATGAGAAGACCTTCTGCTCTTCTATGAGAAGACCTTCTGCTCTTCTATGAGAAGACCTTCTGCTCTTCTATGAGAAGACCTTCTGCTCTTCTATGAGAAGACCTTCTGCTCTTCTATGAGAAGACCTTCTGCTCTTCTATGAGAAGACCTTCTGCTCTTCTATGAGAAGACCTTCTGCTCTTCTATGAGAAGACCTTCTGCTCTTCTATGAGAAGACCTTCTGCTCTTCTATGAGAAGACCTTCTGCTCTTCTATGAGAAGACCTTCTGCTCTTCTACGAGAAGACCTTCTGCTCTTTTATGAGAAGACCTTCTGCTCTTTTATGAGAAGACCTTCTGCTCTTCTATGAGAAGACCTTCTGCTCTTCTATGAGAAGACCTTCTGCTCTTCTATGAGAAGACCTTCTGCTCTTCTATGAGAAGACCTTCTGCTCTTCTATGAGAAGACCTTCTGCTCTTCTATGAGAAGACCTTCTGCTCTTCTATGAGAAGACCTTCTGCTCTTCTATGAGAAGACCTTCTGCTCTTCTATGAGACGACCTTCTGCTCTCCTATGAGAAGACCTTCTGCTCTTCTATGAGAAGACCTTCTGCTTTTCTATGAGAAGACCTTCTGCTCTTCTATGAGAAGACCTTCTGCTCTTCTATGAGAAGAGCTTCTGCTCTTTTGTGAGAAGAGCTTCTGCTCTTCTATGAGAAGAGCTTCTGCTCTTTTGTGAGAAGAGCTTCTGCTCTTTTGTGAGAAGAGCTTCTGCTTTTCTATGAGAAGAGCTTCTGCTCTTTTGTGAGAAGAGCTTCTGCTCCTTTGTGAGAAGAGCTTCTGCTCTTTTGTGAGAAGAGCTTCTGCTCTTTTGTGAGAAGAGCTTCTGCTCTTTTGTGAGAAGAGCTTCTGCTCTTTTGTGAGAAGAGCTTCTGCTCTTTTGTGAGAAGAGCTTCTGCTTTTCTATGAGAAGCACTTCGACTCTTCTATGAGAAGACCTTCGACTCTTCTATGAGAAGACCTTCGACTCTTCTATGAGAAGACCTTCGACTCTTCTATGAGAAGACATTCGACTCTTCTATGAGAAGACCTTCCACTCTTCTATGAGAAGACCTTCGACTCTTCTATGAGAAGACCTTCTGCTCTTCTATGAGAAGACCTTCGACTCTTCTATGAGAAGACCTTCGACTCTTCTATGAGAAGACCTTCTGCTCTTCTATGAGAATAACTACTGCATATCTATGTGAAGACCTTATTCACTTCTATGAGAAGAACTATTGTATTTCTATGTGAAGACCTTATTCTCTTCTTCTGCTCTTTTCTGAGAAGACCTTCATCCGCTCTTCTATGAGAAAACCTTCTGCTATTCTATGAGAAGACCTTCTGCTCTTCTATGAGAAGATCTTCTGCTCTTTTTTGAGAAGATCTCCTGCTCTTCTTTGAGAAGATATTATTCTCTTCAAGGGAAAGACCTCTTCGTTTTCCATAAGAAGACAACATATCTACCCGAATAATTGTCTATCGAACGGCCTACTATCCGAAGGAAACCTCTGAAAAAATCTTTCCCCGATTGAAGATACAAGTGTTCAACTCTTGTCTAAAAATTATGGCTGCCTATAGAGCAGGTTACAATTCGAATCATCCAATTTTTCAAAACTACATGTTTTTCTCTTATCTGCACTCGTCTTCAATTTCACATCGACGGACCGAACCAAACAAAAAAATAAAAAAGTGAATGTTCGAAAAAACGAAATCATTGTGTAGTGCGCTTACATTTGGGCAATTCGATGGGCCAGCAACGGCGGGCTGGCTGCACACCAAGGCAGAGGCGTAAGAGTTAAATTTAACGGCAGTTAATTATTTGTAAGTTTATGCACTAATTAATTGTTTGTTATGTTTAACTTGGTTTACTCCAGTTTAGGTGGGTTTCGAATTAGTGTGGCTCAGTGTACGGAGCGATTGCTGCTGCTGCCACTAATCGTCGTCGTTGTTGTGGTGCTGTTGGTGGAGGTGGTAGCGATGATGATAATGCTTACGATGATGTTATTTTACTCTGGTTTGGGGGGGTGGAGGAGGCTTTTGTTATAGTTTTGTGGTTATGTTTACATTTGCAGGCTTAGTGAATTGTTTGCTTGGTTGGATGATTCGTTGGTTGCTAGCTTGCTTAGATGATGGTTGTTGTGGCTCTTGCTGTTGTTGTTGTTGGTTAGCTGTATATCGTCGTCTTCTAAGCCAGCCAGAATCACGTTTGTTGCTTAAGTCTTTTGTTTCACTTCATGCACTTGTTGTATGTGTGTGTTTTTTGCTATATTTACATTGCAGTTCGAAAATTTCTTTTTTTATTATTAATATTTTTTTTATATTTTAACGGTATCTAAGAAAATTTCATTTTCTTATAATGTTCAATGTAGGTGTGTGTTGTAATGTTAATTATTGTGTGGTTTTTATTTTGTCGATGGTTTGACAAATATTTTTTTGTTGCAACTTTTTTAGCTGCAACTGCTTTAAAGATTTTTTTAACTTGTCCACTAGCATAACCGACTCATGCTTCTCTAGAGTTCTAGTTTTAAATCGCTACTAAAAATATTGTAAAGACAAACTGTCAAATATAAACATTGAAAAATTTAGCGACAACAAGACAGGTTATTTCTTTTTTTGGGATTGTTTTTGTTTCATTAAAAATTTTAGGTGTGGGAAGAACAATCAACACTAGGATTTGTTAGCATTTTTTGCATATTAGAATCATTAATTTTCTTGGGTCATTTGATAAATATTTGTTTTTTTTTTAATATTGTATATATCATGCATCAAATTTATCAAATCTCTAACAATTTTAACAAATTTAGCTAATGACAGCTTCACATGATACTGATGGATGCTTAAATAAACTGTTGAGGTCATTTGTTTCATGAAATTATTACCAATTCTATGATGCAATGTATATAGCCCAAAATAAAAATGCTAAAATTCTACCATAGACGATGAGAAAGACTAAAATACTTAATCATTTGCAGACTTAGACTTTCTCATTCGAATGAAATAAATTTAAAAAGTTTCCCCCTCTATATCCCTCTAGGTTAAAAAATATACCTATAATTTACATAATTTTATGAACCCAAGGCTCACAGTTCAAGGTTCAAAGGTATTTCCCAAGACCCACTGGCTCACTTTTCAATAAGACATTCGAATAAATTTTAACTTTTTTTAACTTAAACCTTAATGTATTATTGTAAACATAAAAACTATAGATATCTTTGGTATTTTATGGCGTAGTTTAACTTAAATCTTCAGCGGGATAAAAAAATAATTTCAACAAGGCAAAACTCAAAAAAAAAAAAAAAAAAAAAAAATTTCGTCTTCCATTATCATTAAATTTACAGTCTTTGGTCCACTTTCATATTTATTAAGAAAACAAACTTTAGATTCTGAGTTCCATAACTATTTCTGAAATTTATCAGCTAGATAATGATTTTTTGCAACGGAAAGTAAAAACCAGGAAAGTAAGGTCAAAATTCGGGTCGGGCTGGGCTGGTCTGGGCTAAGCCGACTATATGATACCCTACATGGTATCTAGAAGGATAATATTCAAAAATATACAGGGTGGTATAAAAAAACTGCAACAAAGTCAAACCCAATAATTTTTGCGTTTTTTTTTTTTCTTTTTTATTTTATTTATTTAAAAGCAAATAAGTAAAGAAGCTTTAAGTTCGGTCATGCTGAACTTTGAATACCCTCCACCACTTGGTACAAATTTACCAATGTTCAAAGAAATAAAATCCGTTAAAAATTCTGTTAAAATCTTTAAAATGCCAAATGTAGCCGTATATTAGGGTCTATACGACGATGTGGACATGCATAGGCAACTTTGTCATAAGCTATTAGAATATTCAAATGCGAAACTTGAAAAAAAATCTATTTATAATATAGCTAAAATCATCAAAATATCGTATATAGGGAGGTACCGTTATATCGGAGATGTGCGAAGACCTGAACCAGCATAGACAATTTTCTGTCACAGGCTATAGCATTCATTACGAAACTCAAATACGACTTCACATACAATTTCGGTTGGTATTGTACCTAAACTAGTCAAAATACCGAATATAGGGAGATACTGATATATATACGAAGACCTGGACCTACATAGAAAATTTTCTGTCACTGACTGTAGTTCTTATTACGAACTCTTAATACGTAATTTGAAACAATTCCGGTGAATAATGACGCTAAAATCATCAAAATACCGAATATCGGGAGGAACCATTATATGGGGGCTATACGATGGCGTGAATCTGCCCGGATAATTTTCTGTCTTAGGCTGTAGTATCTATTACAAACTTCAAACGCCAAATTTGAAACAATTCCGTTGAATAATGTCGATAAAATCATTAAAATAGCGAATATCGGGAGGTACCGTTATATGCGGGCTATACGAAGACCTGGAACTGCACGTACAATTTTCTGGCACAGGCTGTAGTATCTATTACGAACTTCAAATACCAAATTTGAAATAGTTTCGGTAAATAATGTGTCTAAAATCATCAAAATACCATATATCGGGATGTATCGTTATATGGGGGCTATACGAAGACGTGGACCTACATTTTTAGAATACATTTAGAATTGTTCGAATTGGTCACCTTTGGCACGAATTATGGGCTTCAAACGGCCAATGAAACCGTCACACTCTGCCCGAATGTTGCTCTGCGGTATTTTGCTCATTCCTGGCGAAGCGATTGCTTAGGTGATCGACACTTTGGTATACAACCAGAATATTTTCGCGACAATATTCGGCACTTATTCTGGTGCCACGACCGATTAATACGAGCGGAGATCGACCATTGGTTGTTATGGCGTCCCACACCATCACCATGGCCGGCGCTTGAGTTCTGGTGGCCAACCGAAGTTGCACATTTTCAGCTGACCTCTTTGGCAAGTCAACACGATCATTTTGTTTTTTTCTGCTAATGTTGCTGTTTTCTTCCGTTCACTTCCTTGACTTCGGGCTACGCTACCAGTATCACGATAATGACTGATGGTACGAGACACAAACGATTTATTCACATTTAAATGCAGAAGTGCTCTAACGATAGCCACCTGTGGTTTTCCAGCCAAAGATTAAAAAAACTACACTATCACGCTTGAATTCCATCACGAATAACTTTTTTCTGGACAATTCTTACCAAAATGCTTTTGTACGCTTGTAAACAATAAATTGGAATAATTTTAACAGCTGTCGGACGAGTTGCTTAGAAATGACAGCAGTCTGAAGTTAGTTGTAGTTTTTCTTCATCTCACGCTGTATATCACAGCGATAGATGTATGAGAACCGAGTCTCACCAATAGAAAAAACTTGGTTCAATGTGAAAAAATCCATCCAATTTGGATTGATTTAACATATTTGGTGCACAATAACGGAAAGATAGGATGAAGACATATATGGAAGCTATAGCCATATCTGAACCAAGCTCGATAAAATTTAAGGTATTTCTAGCTGTGATATCTGGCACCAAATATCATTGTTGTGTAGGGCATATTACAAATGTGAAGGACATAAACGCTAAATCGGATGAAACAGCCTGAGATGGGTCGTATAGGCCTAAATCCAATTCATTCGAACTTATATCTTCCATTTGGTGCACAATAAATGTGAAATCGGATAACGATAATGATAAAATTTGAAAGAGGTATTTCTGGTCTGGTACCAAATATCATTGTTGTGGAGTGCATATTACGAATGTGAGGGGCTTAATTACCAAATCGAATGAAACATATATATGGGAGCTATAGCTAAATCTAAACCGATTTTCATCAAATTTGAAGTACTTGCTTCTAGGCTAATATCGGTCATATGGGCCTTAATCCACATCATTTGGACTGATCTTAACAATTTGGTGAACAACTATATTCTACTCTGAACTGATATTGATGAAATTTGAAAGAGGTATGTGTGGGCTATGTGAGGCATCTGATACCTAATATCATTATTGAAACGATTTTCCTTAAATTTCCGTTTCTTTTCAGGATGTCAAAATTCGCATATAATAGAACGGCGTTGACACTTTATTTGGAATAACGTAGCTATTTTGTTGTATTATATTATTGTCTTATTAATTGTGAAATCAGTAACCGATTTTCTTCAAACTCATTTCTTAAAATATGCAAAAAGTGCAGAAATGAAAGTATTTCGGATTTTTAAGACATTTTTAAACTTTTTCAAGATTTATAGCGTGATTTGTTAATATACTTTCAAGCATCTTGGAAGCCTTCTTACTAAGTCTTCTTCTTGGGTCCTAAAATCGTTGAAAACCAAATATTTAGAAGCTCCATTAAATTATTTGAGAGGAGTTAATTTGCCTACAAAGAATCAAAAATAAAAGATATTCCAGCTAAAGTGGTTGAAAATTAGGGACGATATTTAAAAGCAAGAAAAACAATTGCGGTAAAGTTTCTGCAGATCTAAAACCCTTTTGACTAGAATGGAGATTTAAAAAAAAAAACATCCCCAACCATGGGGGATGTATGAGATATCCCCCAATCTCTATTCGAATTATCATCATAGATCTATAACCAATATCTTCCAAAAACATATGGTCTCTAAAAAACATCGGTATTTGATGAAGCAGATGTTTCAACAACGTCAAATACTTAAATTTCGGAAACTTTTTTTAAAAATTCAAAAAAATTTCCGTGCATATTGAAATTTTTATCTTCATTTCATTTTTTAAATAATGTCACATAGCCCTGCAAAAGTTTTATCTTGCCTTTTGACCGAAACCACGAGGTCATGTAAATCTTCGTAGAATTTATCCTATATTTAGGCGCTATGATGTTTATAAGTATTCAAAACAATATGTATTTGAAAATTAACATTCCTCTGTATGACTTCACGTATCTCCGATATTGGCTATATTCGTCAATGAAATCAGCATCAATGTAAAGGTCAGAGGTGCGTCTTTCATGTATTTGTGGCTTCGCCGATTTTGGTATTTTTGTGGTCTATTTAAACAGCTGGATTGTATCAGATGATCATCCTAACTTCTAGGCTTCAACGCTGTCCCTAACTCCAACCTTATAAAAATCCATGTCTATTGGTCTATCTAGTTGAGAACTGTAGGACGACTGAAAAATCCAAACAATTTTTAGGTTTTTGGTCTAGTTAAAATCATATATTGTTTATTATTTTCTGCCAACCGAATTGTTACAATCCGTCCAGCCGTTCTTGAGTTATAACTAAAAACTCCTAATTAAAAATTCAATCTTTTTTATATGAGATTTTATATATTTTGCTATATATCGATATATTGGATCAAAGCATCAATATGGCGCTCAGAAATTACCTTTTCAAGTATTGTGATTTCGCTGGGATTTAAAATATTCGCGGCTTAATGGAAATGTTCGTAATTTTTATTTTAATAATCTCCCGCTTAAAATTATTCAGTGACCATCCAAACTAGTAGGCTTTTGCCCAGCCCATGGAAAATTCCGAGTCGATTAGTCTATAACTGTGACCTCTAGAGCAACTGCAAAATCAAAAACGTTTTCTGACTTTGGAACAATTCAAACCGCAAAATATTTTGCAATTAAACCCCAATTGGCTTCTATTTTTGCCTTAACCCCACATCCATGCAAAATTTCGTGAGGATCGAGCCACCTGCAGCGTGATTAAAATTTATGGACAAACGGAAGGACGGACACACATATCAAGATCAATTCAGATATTTGAAATTCACATATAATGTCTATATCTTATGTCATGGACCAATCAAAACATAGCAAATACCTAAAATCTAATCGAGCAAAGATTTAATCTGCCAACAGAACACCGGAATTGATTTGGTTGAAAATTTTAAACAAAAATCTTTAAAATACCAAAAAAAAACAAGTTAAAAAGCAGTAAGTTCGGCCGAGCCGAACTTTGAATACCCTCTACCATTTGGAACAAATTAGGAAATAAAATCCTTAAAAATTCTGTTAAAATTTTAAAAATACCAAATATAAAAATACCAAAAAATACCAAAAATACGGGAACAAATGCAAATCAATGCGAATAATCCGTTGTAAAGTGGACCGAGCCATGCCTAACTGCTGAGAACGGCGTTTTTGGGATGTTCTTGGGGACCTCTCAACACTGGCTCGTACGGCAGCGATATTCTCGGCCGATCGCCTTGGTCGACTTTTATATGGCCTCTTCGGATTAGAAAGGGCCTTATCAGTCGTATAACCGCTTAATGGTGTTCTTAGAAGGCACACTTCTCACATTTTTTTAAAGTTTTAAAAGCACGTTGAGTTTTCACAATTGACTTCTTCTGTTGAATTTAAATTTCAACTATTTCAGAGCGCTCGCGTGGCGTGTATTGGTTCATGGTAAAAATCTGCTTGGACTGACGCTTCAAACGCGCTATGTCATTAAGCGATGTGACATCTCTGTCAAAAGTTATAGCGTTGCCAGATGGGTCCGTCGAATATGGGCAACCCTGTATTGGTGTCCATACGACGTGGACCTACATGGGCATTGTTTGTCAAAAGTCATTACCATATTAAAATTCGAAACTTGAAATAAACGGTGAATAATATAGCTAAAATCAATATAGCATGGTGGAGGGTATAATAATTATATGGGAGCAATACAAAACCCAAAAAATCCGAATATAAATTTACAGCTTATTTGGTGAGGGGGGAATATTCCAAAATCCACATCATTTGGTTTTCAGCTTTACCCATAAATGGACAGATATTTATGTGTTTTTTTTTTTTTTTTTTTTTTTTTGTTTTGGTCCCAATTATCTATGTAAAATGTCATAGCTCTATATTTAATGGTGCAAAATCTATCGCAATGTCAACAGAGGGACAGACAGACAAACGAACATGGCTAAATCGGCAAAAAATTACGCCGAAAAGAATGAAAAATTAAATTTTTTGTTTTATCGGGAACCGTATAAAACATTCTTTCACTACGAACTGAGGATTTTACAATATTACAAAATTTAACAATTTAAGAAACTTATGGTTCTGCTTGCAAACTTTTTTTTTTATATTTTCAATAATAAATCAATTGAAATGCAAGGGTATTTTAAATCCGCACCTTTTTTTATTTTTATGATACCGACCATGGACTAACTTCAGATTGTTCTTCTATTCTACACCACACGCACATACATAACCTAGAAATGCCAGTGGAAAAGGTAAATAAAAATTTAAATTTGGAAAATCATGGCGAAAAAATATAATTTATAATGTTCGCCCTTCAAGCGTAACAAAGTTTGTTCTTTTCCATTTTAGTTTTTCCCAATTATTCTCGTTCATTTTTTGCCACAACAGACAAAATTTAAAAAACGGACGCACAACTCGAACATAACAAACACCAAAAACCAAACAACAAAATTGTTAGAATTGTTTAATTGCATGACAAAATGTGGAGTACTTTACTTTACTTTTGAACTTTGGTTAATTATGTTTTGGAAATTATGTTTAGCACAAAGTATTGTTATTTTATTTTTAAGGTCACAAAACATGTGGATTTGAAAATTAATATTTTTTTATTTTAAAAATATTACATTATTTTAATTTCGTTTTTATTATTTTATTTATGCACCGTTATATGACTTAATTAATTAAACACTTTTTGTTCTTTGTTCGTTTCTTAGTTTCTTCTTCGTTTCGGAATTTTCACATTTCCCCCACGCTGCATTCATTCGATTGGCAAACAAAGATTTTCCGCGTTCACCGTTTCTATCACAACGCCGTTTCAAACGCGAATGAGCGACTTGTTGTTCGTGCAAATGGGAAAAACTCTTTGCATGAAAATGTTGTGTGTTCTTGTTTCAACGCAACGATCGCGCTGACGATCAGAAGCGCACACTTCGCAAAACAAAGTGTTCTCTTTTATTGTTACAAAAAAATGAACGAAACAACGACAACACACCGCAATGTTACACACAACCAGCCAGAGCTAGTCGTCGCCACAACACCTCCAACAATAGAGACGATCCCCCACAAAACAAACACTCAACCTAGACAAGTGCCAATCGAACATCACACAACCAACTGGACTGGCACAAACACAAACACTCCTCCCAGCAACAAAAGCATTCCTCTTTCGCTGTTCCAACAATTGTGCCATTCTCAGCAATAAAATTGGAGTAAGGGGTGGAAACTTTTGTTGGAAACTTTCGTTTGGTTTTGATGATCATCGTCTTCAGGCAATTGGATCTTTAGGGGTAAGTTCGCTTCATACCATTTCTTAAGTTACTACAACTTTGAACGATCCTATTTCATTACAAATCAAAAGTTGTGACCACATCAAAAATTCTAGAATTTGATTATTTGGGCGAATTTCAAATTACACTTGACTCACAAAGAAATGTCATTGCTTTGTTTATGTTTCACAAGTGTCATTTAACTTTAGGGGTGTGTAAAATACAACAAGTATTTATTTCTTAAAAATGTGAAGCCATGGTACAATAAGGAGGTACATTTTTGTGTTGATGTCATGCCCGATATTTGTCAGAATCATTAAAAAGTATTCGTATATCGGACACCTTATTACAGCGTGACATAAAAAATTGCAACTAACTTCATTTCTAAGCCACTCGTCCGACAGCTGTTAAAATTAGTCTAGTGACAGCTTATTATATTGTTGAGAATTTTCCAGAAAAAAAAATATTCCTGATGGAATTCATGCGTGATAGTGTGATTCCTTTATATTTGGCTGGAAAACCACAAGTGGCTACCGTTATATCACTCCAGCATTTAAAGGTAAATAAATCTTTTGTGTCTCGGGCCATCGCCCGTTACCGTAATACTGGTAGCGTAGCCCGACGTCAAGGAAATGGATGGAAGAAAACAGCAACATCAGCAGAAATGGTTCGAAAAGTAAAGAAGCGACTTGATCGAAACCCGTGTCGCAGTGGCCGAAAAATGGCTCGTGAGCTGAACATATCGCAATATTCCATTGGGCAAATGTTGTTGAAAAATGAGTTCGGGGTAAATCCATTGAAATTCCAAAAAGTGCAAGAACTTACACCGCAACAGAAAGAAAATAGACTCAAAAGAGCTAAAGAGTTACTTCGCTTGAACGAAAATGGTAAACTGCCGAATTTGGTTTCCTGCGATAAGAAAACATTCGTTGTCCTGCAGTTTGTGAGCAAACAAAATAATCGTGTTTACTTGCCAAAAAGGTCAGCTGGAAATGTGCACCTTCGTTTGGCCACTAGAACTCAAGCGCCGGCCATGGTGAAGTTGTGGGCCGCCATAACAACCGATGGTTGCTGTCCACTCGTATTAATCGAACGTGGCAACAAAAGAAATGCCGAATATTATCGAAAAAATATTCTGGAGGGTGTATTAAAGCCATGGGTACGCAAACATTTTGAGCATTCCAACAGGCGCCAACCAAGAATGGTTACAAAATGAGGTCCCTTGCTTCATTCCCAGCGCAAAATGGCCACCAAAATCTCCGGACACCAATCCGTTGGACTATTGTGTCTGGAGCATTTTGGGAAAGCAAGGTTGGCACTAAAAAAGACCAAAGTGTCGAACACCTCAAGCAAGCGCTTCGCCTTGAATGGACCAAAATACTGCAGAGCAACATTCGGGCAGCCTGTTTCATTGGCCTTTTGAAGGCCATAATTCGTACTAAAGGTGACAAATTCGAACAAATCTAAACTTATTCTAAAATTTGATGCTAGTTCCGACATATGTTGCTTTCATTCAATAAAATTAAAAAAAAAACAAGTAAGCAAAGGCTATAGTGGTGCGGGGCCGACCATGTGATACCCTACAACACTACAATGTGTTAGAGGCCCTCTTATGTCCAAATTTATTTTGGAAGATTTCGCTTTTGAAATTATGTCACGGAGCACTGCCCAGTATTTTGACCAGTGACATTTGCCCTATATTTACAAACTCCGTTGTGCTCTTTGTTGTTGTGGTCCATTTTAGAGCTAAATATGCTAGACTTCTTCCCTACGATATTTGGCTATATCAGCATAAGAATCCAGAAGTTCGCCTTTTTGTGTATTTTGGATATCGCCTGTAAGTAATGTTGGTATTTTTCACACAAAAGTAGTGGTCCATTCTACCCACTGTTCTAAACTCTAACTACGAGATTTCGTGTCATTTGGTTTCTATTTATGACCTTTATAAGGGCTGCAAAACCAGGAACATTTTTAGTTGTTGGTCCCTTTCAACCCCTAAATATATTGCGGGCATCTTTGAAAACAATAGGTCTAGCCCTTCTGAGCCTAACCCTACCCTTGTGGAAATTTTCGTGAGGATCGGACGATAATTGTAAGCTGTATATAATAACCCAACCTTTGTTGTAGGGTAAAATATATTACAAAATATACACTTCAATATTATGAGTCAAATTGAAAAAATCGCATGCGATAAAAAATATGAAAATATGAAAATTCACAAAATCTATATTAACATCATTGTTGGCATCATTTTATGCGATTTTTTTAGATTTTATACTTTTATGCCAAAAGGGCATTCTAAATTTACAAAATTTGTCAAAATCCTCCAGCCATTCTGGAGATATATGCATTCTAGCTAACATCCCTTTATATGTTTTATTTATTTCGCTATATATATCCGATATTTTTACTATCGGCATCTACGTAACGGTCAGAATTGACCTGTTCGTCTATTTGTGATTTCGACGGCATTAAAAGTATTCGCGGTTTAATGGAAAATTTGACTTTTGTTTAACACAAATGTTATGGTCTATTTCAACAACTAAATATTACCCGATGATCATCAAAATTGGAAAGCTTCTGCTCAGCCTAGCCCCATGCTAACTTTCGCTTTGATTGGTCTATAATTGTGACCTGTAGAGCAACTGCAAAATCAGGAATTTTTCAGTTTTTGGTCCATTTCAACCCCTAAATATTATGCGATCATCTTCAAAAGAAATAGGGTTCTATTCTGACCGTAACCCCATCTACATTTTAGATTTCGCGAAGATCGGGCCATAACTGCAACCTGTAGAGTGATTACAAATTAACATGGACAGACGGACGGACGGATATACATAGCTAGATCGACTCAGCTCGGCGAGATAGGAAGATCCATATATACTTTCCTATGTGGGAAATCAATATTTCGTGGTGTTACATAATTTTTGGCCCAATCAAACTTATAATACCCCCAACACAAAGTGTTGTAGGGTATAATTAAAACTTATGGCGTTTGATTTTGTTGCAGTTGCTTTTTATCTCACCCTGTACATTTATATTTTTCAATTCTTTGATGCCCACTTGGACACGCATTGATCTATACGAGTATGTGTATAAATCTATTAACTAGGTAGTCGTTAATGGAGTTAAGGTAATTGACGTTGAATACATTTATGTAAATACATTTTTTGTCAGTTTATTGATAATCTCATATCCGATTAAGTGAAGCTGATCATAGAACATTCAAATTGTTGATATTATAACAATGGGGAAGATCAGCGGGTAATAAGATTCCTGCAAAAAAAAAACCTAAGACAGTAATAACAAGCTAGGCCATGTTTACTATAATTACGACAACATCACTATATGGTTGTACAATATCGGAATTGCTATTTTTTGTGTATATTTTAATATTAACACCGACCAATAGTATTTTTCTGTTCTCCAAGTTTTACACATGCATTTAAGGGCGATACGAACAAGGTCAACCTCATCTAACTCTGTAATGAGCCTTAAGTAAAAAAATTAAAACATTTTTCCAATTATGAATAAATCAAACACACAAAAATAATTTAATTTTTTTAATATAATTTTTGCAAAACTAGATATCGAAAAAGTTGCAGAAACAAAGCATACAGGATGAGATAAAAAAACTGCAACAAAGTCAAAAGCCATCATTTTTACATTTTTTTAATTTTTCTGAATGAAAGCAAAAAATGTCGGAAATAGCATCAAATTTTATAATAAGTTTAGATTTCTTCGAATTGGTCACCTTTGGCACGAATTATGGTCTTCCAAAGGCCAATTAACTCGTCACACGCTGCCCGAATGTTGCTCTGCGGTATTTTGGCCCATTCCCGGCGAAGCGCTTGCTCCAGACACAATATTCCAACGGATTGGTATCCAGAGATTTTGGTGGCCATTGTGCGCTGGAAATTAAGCGAGGAACTTCATATTGTAACCATTCTTCGGTGGCGCGTGCTGAATGGTGGATTGTGCTGAGTCCTGTTGGAATGTGCCAGGTCTGCGGCCACAAAATTTGCGTGCCCAAGGCTTTAATACACCCTCCAGAATATTTTCGCGATAATATTCGGCATTTATTCTGATGCCATGGTCGATTAATACGAGCGGAGAGCGACCATCGGCTGTTATGACGGCCCATACCATCACCATGGCCGGCGCTTGAGTTCTGCTGGCCAACCGAAGGTGCACATTTTCACCTGAGCTCTTTGGCAAGTAAACACGATCATTTTGTTTGTTTACAAACTGCAGGACAACGACTGTTTTCTCATCGCAGGAAATCAAATTCGGCAGTTTACCAATTTCGGTCAAGCGAAGCAACCCTTTAGCTCTTTTGAGTCTATTTTCTTTCTGTTGCGGTGTAAGTTCTTGCACTTTTTGGAATTTCAACGGCTTTACCCCGAGCTAATTTTTCAATATTTTCCGAATAGAATATTGCGATATGTTCAGCTCACGAGCCATTTTTCGGCTACTGCGACGCGGGTTTCGATCAAGTCGCTTCTTTACTTTTCGAACTATTTCTGGTGATGTTGCTGTTTTCTTCCGTCCACTTCTTTGACATCGGGCTACGCTACCAGTATCACGGTAACGAGCGATGGTACGAGACACAAAAGATTTATTCACATTTAAATGCTGGAGTGCTCTAACGATAGC